CAATATATGGCTGCTACTTATCTTAGAGTTAGTGGAATGTTCTATTCCAGACAAAGGAACGATATTTAAGCAGATCACACAAAATTAATAAAACACCCCAGGAAGACCTTGACAGCTTAAATTTGATGAAGGAATATGATTACACTGCCCTCTAGTGGAAATTCAAGAGAACTCAGTAAATGAAGGTTTTTTTTTCCTTCTTCACTATCACACTGAATGAAAACTCGAATTCACCCTTTGCCAAAGCTGCTTGCAACTCAAGGCATTCCTTCTACCTCAGCTTCCTAAAACCTGGAATTATAGGCATGAAACACCAAGCCTAGCAATTGTAATACAGTACTTTCCAGACTCATATGTCTCAGTATTTGATTAGAGTGCAGAGTGACTACTTCACCTAATAGGAACTTTCTTTATCCTTAAAAGCATTTTCAATACACAGACTACTATGTGGTTTATCCTGTCACATTTGGAAGAATCTTTTAAAAGAAGAGTCTATGTAACATAGGCTAGCCTTGAACATGCTATGTAGCAGAGGATGGCTGTGAACTTCAGATCCTCCTGCCTCTCCTTCCCCAGAGCTGGGATTATACTTAGCATCTACACTGCTGATTTATGCTATACAGTGGTTCAAACCCAGGGCTTCCTACATACTAGGTAAATGCTTTACCAACTGAACAACAACCCAGCCCTCATCTTCCAACACTTAATAGGATGGCTTTGTCTCCCAATCTAAACTACCTAGTAGCCCAATTTAAATTACATAATATCCATCTTTTGTTACAAAAAAAAGTATTTTGTAAATTTACCAAGTTAGACAAACTTCTAGTAGATTGTCAGTACCCTCATGGCATAAACTCAGACTTGCTCTAGAGCACAGGAAAGAGAGGCTTCTTAAGAGCACTGAGGAGTGAGTCAGGAGTGAAGGACACTTCAGTGACTGCAGCTCAGTTGAGTTCAGGCAATGTAGTCAAGTTGAATTTGGGCAGTTCTGCTCAGTTCGTGCAGTGCAGTCGGTGCAGTTCAGTTTACAGAGGCAGTTTCTCCAAAGAGAGAGATTCAGTACACAGGGGAGATACACCAAGGCACTGTGCTAAGTGAGTTGACATTGTTGTCTCAGTTAATCCTCCAAGCAGGTACAGTAGTCAGTCATTCCTTGGTGTCCCTGGAGGACTGGTTCCCACAGCCCCACACTGTCAAAATCCTTGACTGCTCAAGTCCCCTACATAAAATGGCACAGTATTTGTATACCACTACTTGCCCTTTCACCTCTCTATGATTTAAAATATCTAATACAATGTAGAAAATATTATGTGAATACCTGTAGTGCATTACTTAGGAAATGACATGATTGAAAAAAAATCCTGTAAGTGTTCAATATAAACAAATTTAAATAAATATTGTCTGTGTTCAGTTGGCTGACTCTATGGATGCAGACTCTACAGACAGGAAGGCCAGATCTTCCTGATCCTCACTTGTAGCAGAGACTGAAGCAAGGAGCCTTTAAGAACCCTCCAGAAAAACTGTCTCTGAGATCAGAGTTCACACCCAATTTCTCACTTTCCAGCATACCTTCACCTTTATTTCCTAAACTGCAGTCTTACCAGTAACTATCAGTTAAACAGACATTTGTAAGCTAGATGGATCACATCCAATAAAAAAGATCAATATGAATGGATTAGCCTCTGCTACTTAACAATTCCCAAGGGGCTAGGTTTCCAAGACTCCTATTTATTAAGCCACAGGCTGGTGCAGCTAAAAGCATCATGACATTATACAGATACCTTACTCTTATGAGACAGATCATCCAGAAAACAATGCCAAGACCAAGCGATGTAAGACGTCTGGAAAATGGAGAGAATGCATAGATAATGTATTATCCCACAGAGCCAGGGAAACAAAAGTAAAAGTTGGGCTCACTGGCTAGAGTTCTCTGTGTTTGGAACCTAGGCTCTGATCTCCAGAACCCATTTTAGAAGCTAAACACTGCAGGATCCACATGTAACCCCAGCACTGCCACAGGGAAATGAGCAGTAGAGACTAGTCAATCATCTGAGGCTCACAGGCCAGCTAGTCTGACACACACCAGACCCTCCTCAAACAACAAGAAGGAAAGTGAGAAGTGACACTCAAGGCTGTCTCCTCTGACCTCCACACATGCACACCACAGCATGTATACCCACACTCAAACACACGAATGTAGACATGGGAGGGCAGACAGACGGACACACACACACACACTTTTAACTAGTTAAGCCTTGTGAGATGATGTCCAAATTTTTAGGTTATGACAGGTCATATAATATTTTGAAGCTATCAAAAAGGAAATGCAAAAGTGTGTGACTTATCAACACTTCCAGAATCTAAGAATGATGCCCAAGCTCACTGAATAGTAGTTTCTAAAGCACATCAATGACAAGGACACTTTTTAAAAAGCTACTCCATAAAATCAGGTTTCATAAAGCTTCCACTATGGTGTCAGTACTGATTCTATTAGATAAAAGTGCCACAATTTTGAAACATCTTTCTTTGAGCATATTCTGTAATGACAAGATGCTATCTCACACCATCATTCATTATTTTTTGGTAAGGCTTTGTTTTGTTAAGACATGGTCTTATTCTGTAGACTTGCCTGGAATTCACTATGTAGCCTAGGCTGGCCTCTAACTAGTGGTGATCCTTCCTCAGCCTCTCAGTCATTCAATATATCTAGCCTTAAAACAGTATATTTTAAGAAAGTCTTAGGCTGCATTTCCCAAATAAAAATAACTATGAAAATAATAGTTGTAACATAATGTATACAATTAGTAAAATGGTACTAAACAAAAGAACAACTACAAAGAGAAAATATTCTCCTTTAGAGGAAAAGGAGAGCAGCCACTTACAAAACAAAGAAAATCAAGTCACTGGGAACGGTTCAGCAGGTAAGCTCAAAGGAGTGGCTAAGAATGGCAATGTCTACTAGTTAGAAAGATCGTGAGAAACAACAGAAGTGGGACAGTGCAGAGGAGGGCCAGAGAGCACAGAAATTCTACATTTCTCCTCAGACACACTGTCCCTTTTTTGTGTCATGCTTTCAGAAAAAACACTCATGCCCAGCGGCCCTCTGTAAGAGCCTAGAACCCGAAGATCACAGTTCCTGAAGGCTGCCTGCCTTCCTACTGCCTCATCTCTCAGAGCATTGCTATGTGTTATGTCTTACTCACTGCCAGTCTTTGCTTCTGCACGGAGAGCAGGGATGGTGAAGGCTCCGTTCACGAGGCTCTTATAAGAACTAAGATGGACTCTGTAAAGTGCCCAGCATGCTCTCCATCTTGTAGGTGCTGTCAACTGGGCAATAATCACAGCAGCAACACTCCACATAAGCTCTGTCTGTTCGGACACAAAGCCCTGCTTTATGATTTGCTAATTACTCCCTCAGCAAACCCACTGGTGAATGCTGTAGAAGAGGGGATAGTGAAAGGTGAGGAGAGACACCCTGCTCTCCACAAGACTAGATGAAGAGTTCTAGCTGTTACCTTTTGTACATGCAGTTCCCACTTCCATACAAGCTTAAGCTAAGGTAGAAAACAGCGCTGAAAAAAGAAATTAAAGGGAGCCACGATCTGGGACTAGTCATTTTCATTGGCTCCATACACCAGTCCAAAAGCAGACAGTCACGGGAGCTGACATCTCACAGCACCAAAACGAAACCAAGGTGGAAGCCTGGCCCTCAGCATGGCGACGGCCCCTTAGCCTTAAGCTTACCCACACCCAACGGCCCCTTGCACCTTCATGTCACACAGAGATGTCTCATGTGAAAGGAAATATGCTACACTTTCCTGTCCCTCCCATCCAGAGAAAGGAGGACTGACAGAATGATGGCAGAGAGGATAGATACAAGGACAGTACAAGATATGTATCTGGAAATAACAATGAAACCTATGGCTTTGTATGCTAAACCCAGTAAGGCAATTCAAGGACCTGCCTGCCTGTCCCTGCCCTACAAAGTCATTTTGAAATGACTAATCCACTTTAACTTTTGTTTGTACTTCCTTACTTTCCTTTCTGTCTGTAAAAGCAGTAGTAAATAAACAGTTCTACTTTAGAATGAAAATAAATTACAATTTAGAATTTAAAAAGTAAAGCCATTTGTAATCTTTACATTGTTCTAAATTTTGTCCTTTGAGGGCAGTGACCCACAGTATTACCTTTAAGTGTACGTTTATCCAACGAAACAAATGATTCTCTGAATATAAACTTATCTAAATGAAAAAAAACCCACCAAACTTCCACAAAGTTCAAATGCAGTCGAACCCATCTGACCTCATGTCTGTCATCTGAAGGTAAAACACACTGTAAGACATGCCAGGGTGAAGGTTACGTCCTATTTATTTATTTTACACTTTTAAACAAAAGACCTAATGACAGTCTTGAGTCTCTTAAAAAAAAAAAAATCAACAAAGGCTGGCAAGATGATTCACCCAGCAAAATGCTTGTAGCTTAAGCAAGAAGACCTGGCCTGAGTTGGATCCCCAGTACATACAAAAAATGCCAAGCATGATAGCTTGCTTCTAATCACAGCACTAAGGAGCCAGAAACAGACAGCTCCTTGGGGTCCACTGGCTGGCCTCACCAGTGAGTACCACCGCACAATGAGAGACATCGTCTCAAAATCAAAATGAAACACCCCAAGAGCTCAGAAAGAACAACACCCCACACCCTCAGTTGACTCCTCTTCCATATGCATAAGCATGTGCATATATACAAACATTTGGACACACACAGGCAAACAGGTAACACTCACACAATTCAACAAAACTAAAATTATACTTCCTTAGCTTACCATAGGCAGAAAGCATTAGTGGTAAATTTTAGAAATGAATTTCTATACATTTTCTATATAATCAAACTATAACAATAAGAACACACTATTATTTTTTAAATGATAGCTAAAAATTTAGAGAGCCTTGAAACAACAGCAAGTCCTGTTGAAACTGCTTTCACACACAGGTCACACTTACCCAGGCTTGTCATCAGGGACTCCAAATCCTGGAGGAGAGCTGGCAGCTGCTGCAGCTGCTCCTGCAGCTCGGCCAGGCTGGTCCTCTTCTTCTCCCAGTGGGCAGACAGCATGACCACCTCGCTGTCCACCAGCTGTAACACAGACCAGCAGAGCTCAGGAAAACCACATCTCAGGCACACAGTCAGTGAGCCGAGGCCCAACCGTTTGTCTTTAGCAACCATCCATGGTCTACAGATGGCAATGACACTGAAGACAGTGTCACTTCTGCTGCTGGTTTTTCTTAGAAAAGGAAGGAACTCAGTGTCCTGTACAGCAAACCTCAAACTGCTCTTGTATCAGGCATCTAACCCAAAGACACAAAGTCCAGAAGTGAGCTGACTACTTCTATGTACACTCTACTATTAAGGAAACCATCCATTGAAAAATTCACACCTAGGAAAATAAGACAAAAGACAAACAACAAAAAAAACAGTAACAAAAAGAAAATACACAGAAACAAATAAAAAAATGATTTACTGGTAATTACTTGCTAACTTGAGGAGGAGGAGTTAAAATATTTTGCCTGGTACACAGCATAATCTTTTTTAAGGCATTATAGATCTTACCATGGTTCATTAGATAACTCAAAAAGTCTGAAATAACTAAGGTTTAGGTAATAACTAATTCTTACCAAAAATCAAAGTACAGAATATTTAAATATTAAGATTTAAAAATGGTTTATTAATTCTAACTTTACACAAAACTAAAAATTACATTCGTCATATAGAACATAAAGAGTTTTATATGTATAAATGTACTAAAGTATTTTAATCTAAGAGAATGTGAGGTTGAGCGATTGTCAGAAATCATCATAGATGCTAATACAACCATACAACACATTTTGTGCATTTGCTACAGGCCAGACTCTGTGTTAGGTAATTCAGATATACTATCTTACTTAAATTACATGTTACATGCCCCTCAAAGGCTTGCAAGCTAACAGTGTATGCGGAGTAGTTGGGGGACAGTGGAACATTTAGTAGGTGGGGCTCAGCAGCATCACAAAGCTAAATCACCACAGGCATGTCTTTGAAAGGACTTGGGGATTCCATCTCCTCCTCTGGTGATATACTCCTCTGTTACGATGAGATGAACACAGTTCTCCACCAAATGCTCCCGACACGGCTCACTGTCTAACAAATAGGCCCAACAGCAAAAGGGCCAAACAGTCATAAACCAAAACTATGAGCCAAAACAAACCCTTTCTCCTTACAAAGTTGATCAGCTGAAGTAGTTTGTCAGAGCGATGGAACTAATTAACATAGCCTGAAACTACAGTTCGATCAGTCTGTCTGGCTTGTTGGTTAAGCAAAGTGAAGTGGTGTCTGACACCATTTTATGGATAAAGAAAAGACAGAGACCAGGCTGTTTGTGTAAGACCAAAACAAATTAGTGCACCAAAGATGAAAAACAGAAACTGTAACCTTCACCCCCATCACAGGAAATGCATCCCGAGCAGAGAAGTGAACTCAACTTACTTAACAAATCAGACTGCTAAGTAAAACCATGAATCCTAAAGAGTTCAATCTGAAGACAAGAAACTATTTCACGATAACAGGAATTAAAAGCAAAATACTAGAAGTCTAGCTTCAGAAAACTACCCTGGGTGTCTAATTCTTAAGTAACGTGAACTATTCGACTGTAGATTGTAGAGGAGGGAGGGGAAAAAACACAACTCCTGAGACAAAGCTTTCAAACAATTAAATGACCATTGACCATAGCTGTGTGTTTTTATAAGCCACTGCTCTGAATCCTACAAGCATATGATAAGAATATGTTCTAGGGGCTGGAAAGACGACTCAGCAGTTAAGAGCACTGGCTGATATTCTAGCGGAGCTGGGTTTGATTCCCAGCACCCACATGGTAGCTCACAAATCAACTCCAGTTTCACAGAAAACAATGCCCTCTTCTGGCCTCCACAGCACTAGACACACATGGAGTGCACACACATACATACAGGCAAAACACCTACATACATAAATAATAATTTTTTAAAGAATATGCTGTAGAAATAAGTACAGAGTAATTTCTTGACAAGACTGCTTGCCCTGAGACTGATAGAAAGCTGTTTTATCAGAAACAGACCTGACATGGACACGAGTCTAAGCAAGACTAAAAAGACATTCATTTATACATCTGTAAGTCTCAAAGACACATTACTGAAGGCGTTTTTTGTTTGTTTGTTTTGGTTTTTTGGTTTGTTTTTAATCTTTCTGAGACAGTAATTCCTGAGACAGACCAGGAAAGTCTGGAACATTCTTTGTAGTCAAGAATGAGCTCAAGATGAGAGCAATCCTCCTGCTTCAGCCTGTTAAATGCTGAGATTGCAAGTGTTCATCGTCACACCTGGCTTAAATTTTCATCCTTGAAGTTTATATTTCAGGACAGTCTCAGAGGTCATCTTTGCTTCTGGTGACTTGAACTTTGAATAGATTGTTTTTTTTTTTTTTTTGAGGAGAAGAAGGAGGATGAGGAGGAGGAGGAAGAAGAAGAAGAAGAGGAAGAGGAAGAGGAAGAGGAAGAAGAGGAGGAGGAGGAAGAAGAAGAGGACAGAGTCTAATCTGTGAAAATCTGAGGGACTTAGGAGTAAACTCTGGTCCATGGGGGATTTCTTGGGTGTCAAAAGATACAACTGACTTTCCCTTCTTAACATAGGGGTTATGTATGCATACAGAAAACATAATTCAGAACCGTACACTATGAGAAGACAAAACACAGTAACACGTCCAGGAAGGAAACCAGTTTTAGCAACTGTTCTGTGGACTACTAGGTTCCCTGTGCCTTCCCTACTGTAACCATTCACCAGGGAATAGAGCCACTTCAAAGGTCAAAGGGCACATGTAAGCATCTCAGAATCAGTGCACCATTGGCAAAGCCTCCAGCTTCTGGCTCTAGCCTCCTGCTTTGTTAATAACCAGGATGACTTCATTTCCTCTATTCCCTTAATTCTCACAGGCTTGGTGCTTTTCAAAGAGCTTACAATACACACATGTGCACATACATGGGTTTTGTAACTGGAGACTCATCCACTGCCATCCTGTCCACCTCTGCACACCCACATTTAGGCTGTATCATGGATAATGAGTCTTCAGTTGTATACAGGACCCAGAGCTCAGTACTGTAGGTGGGTCCAGCCTTTTCTTTCAATACTACAAATCAGAGAGACCAAACCACCCTTTTACTCTGGAAGGACCTGGCACTTAGGACTGAAGAGAGGAACTCTGCCAAAGGGTAAGGTCAGCAGACTCTACCTCGCCAGCGTCGGCACACTCCTTGGTTCTTCTGTGAAGTGCAGCCCATGTATCCTCATACCTAAAAATGCAAAGAATAATTTAAATGTAAAAAGACATCAAAAGGAAACACATTTAGGGGAGTTTATAATATACTGTGGCTGCAGAAATTAGCCAAAATAATAATAATAATAACGATGATGATGATGATGCCACATGTCACAAGAGCACAGACAGCAACTTGAAGAATATCAGAAACCCCAATTACAAAACAGTTGAATTTTTTTAAATAGAAAAGAGAAAAACATTTTTTTCTTTTTTTAGATAAAAGTCTCAATATGTAAAACTAGCTGCACGGTGCTTGTTACACAGACTAAGCTGGCCTCAAATGCTCAGCAATTCTCCTGCTCTGCTTCCCAAGTGCTGGAGCTACAGGAGTGGAAACCACCACTCCTGGCTTACAAAAACCTGAACATACTGTCTCTTATCTGTGAGCCCTTTGCCTGCACATGTGTCTGGGCACCACATATATGCCTGGTGCCCAAGGAGGCCAGAGGAAGGCACTGGCCCCTCTGGGACTGGAATTAGAGACAGCTGTAAACTGCCATGTAGGTGGCAAAAATTGAACCTGAGTTCTCTGAAAGAACAAGTGCTCTTAAGCACTGAGTCATCTCTCTGACTCAGAAAAACTTCTTTACAGCAGAAATAAAATTATTGACTTTGGAAGAAATCAAAATAGATACAGTCTAGTTACTGAATAAATACAACAGAAGTAACTGACAAGAAAGGCTCTTAATTGGTATGAAACTGAAAAGAAACATAGTCTCAAAATCTCTCAACAGAATGTTCACTACCCTGGAGGCAAAAGAAAGCAGGCAGATGCTGTCTGTAATAAGTGACTAAGATCAACATCAACTGCAATAAGACACCACATCACCTGCCTCCAATGTGTGAGGACACACGGTTACTTTGATATCTCTGGCGGCAAAGCACTAGGGAAGAGGAGATGGGCGGTCTGCAATCATCAAGGTCCTGAAGCTCGTTGCCTATTACAGACTAAGGAAAAAAGAGGCAGCACACTGACTAAATACGCTCGGTCCTGGATACACAATAAGGTATTGGTAAGTGACAAAGTCTGAATGAATCTGTTTGCAGTTACAGTTACCAACGTTTGACCACCATGCTTTGGCTATAAAAAGTGCAAACTCTGGGAGAAATCTCTTGCTCTAATTTTGTCATGTTTTCATAAAGCTGAAATCATCTCAAAGTAAAATTTTCAATTTCAATTATTGCTATTGTTATTACTGTGTGTGAGCACACATGGCGGGTGAACATGCCATGGCACATGTATGGCGGTCAGAAGGCAACTCCATGGAATTAGTTGCCTTTCCACCTTTACGTGGGCTCTGGGAACCAAACTCAGGTCACCAGGCTTATCCAGCAAATACCTGCTCAGCCATCTAGTCCTAAAACTGAAAAGGTTTAAAATACAATTTCTGAATACAGTATTATCTATATGGCTGCTGATAGAGAACTTGATTTTCCAGCCTATCTACAATTCTACCAAAATTCTTATCTGCCCTTGCCTGCTGCAGTACTCAGGAGAGCTGGCCCTAGTGGAAGGGTAGGAGGTGAGCCAGCCCAGGGATGAGAGTGCGAGCTCAGGAGAGCTGGCCCCACCATTTGTGAGGTACTACGGGTTGGAAGGGTAATGCTCTTCTTCCTTCCACTCCTGCCTCAACGCCTGTGGTGGGTAATTAGGAGAGCTGGCCCCAAGGGCTTGAGGAGCTAGCCCTGTCCCCTCACTGGCTGTACCACTAAGGTTGGGGGAGCTACATCTCACCTGGGCAACACAGAGGAGCAGGCCCTGAGGGTGAAGGCACAGTGAGCCAGCCTTGAGGGTGTGAAGCAGAAGAGCTGCCCCTCCCTCCTGCTGCTGATGGGAAAGAGTGGCCTAGCCAGAGCAGTGCTGGAGAGCTCACCTGGTGATGTGGACAAAGGAAAGCTGTCTTGATGATGAGCTCAGCCACCCCTGCCCAGATCCAGGGCTTTGCATTGGCCCACTTCAAAATCTGTATCATTTGTGAATGGCTGGGACACACAAAAGGGCCAGTCCTGCAATCCAAAGCTGCAGGATCTCCATGACACGGGGCAACAACAGGATATTTGGGAGGAGTCCAGGTGAGAATCCAATATTGATGATGTCATCTCTAACCAGACCAAGGACTCATTGCAATAAACATTAGCAAGTGAAGATATATGGACAGACAGACATACTGTGGGACACACTGTGACGTATTACAGCTTCCACAATGAGGTGTTGTTCATGCTTTGTCTGTTTATTTGTTTGTTTGTTTCTGTTTGTTTTTTACTTTGAGGGGAAGGCTGCAGAGTGAAGGGCAGATATGAGGAGGCTGGATCGGGAGATGAGCAAGTCTGGTGTGGATAATGTGAAACTCACAAAGAAGCAACAAAGTTAGAAAAAAGTTATCTGAACAAACATATGTATTTCGTGAATTCGTGGTAGCTGTCTTCAAAGTCACAGAGACACTGTCTTGTGGAATTTTGATAGGAAAGCCAATCTGATAATCCTATCAACCGTTACCAGTATCCACATGTAATGAAAAGCACTGTACAACATTACATAGTTAATACAGCCCTACTGTCATTGCCAACTAACAAAAAGCTTGATGTTTTTCCTCTGGTACATCTAACTGTAAGTATCAATTAGAATCAGCAAGTGTTTATTGGATGCCAGGCACTGTCAGGTACCAGAGTTGCTGAGATGAATTATACTCTTCCACCTTTGCTGCCTCAGTAATTAGCACAGAGAACTCACTAGATGCCTGCCAGGTAAAACAATGAGCACACTAAGTTCAAATCCAAGACTTTATGGCAGACTGACCATCACTTTCTCGACCAACAGAAACGAGTAAATGAAACCCTGCTTACCATTTAAACTCCTGACCCCCGCTTCCCGACCACCCCCGTTTCCTTTCCCACTAGCATTCACAGGCTTCTCTCCTTACTGTTATGAATCACCCTCTCACACCAACTAAGTCTGTCACTGTCCTGCTGATTTGTCGTTCCCTAAGTAATGACACAGATGAACCGAATGTCTTAGTTTCTCTTCTTGCTGCTATGATAATACATCTGACAACAGCAACTATCAGGACAAAAGGGTTAGTTCCTAATTCCAGGTTACAACACACTGTTTTGGGGAAATCAAGACTGTAGGAGCTTGAAGCAGTTCGTCACATTGCATCCAGAGTCAAGAGCCAACAGCAGTCTTACACAGGAGGTACTCAGCTTACACTCTCCACTCTTACAGGACCTAAGATTTCCCTGTCAGGGGAATGGTATCACCCACAGTGAGTGTGCCTTTCCACACCAATTGACATAATCAAGACAATGTCCCCACAGACATGCCCACAGGCAAATCTAATTTAGACAATCCATCATTGAGACTTCTTTCCCAGGTGACTCTGGACCACCACACCTAACTATTCATCTTCTCTATTATGAGGCTATTATGTTATTGGGCAAGGCTGGAGAAAGGTAGACAGTCTATTACGAAGACTATAAAGACATACTACTTAGACTTTTGTGGGTCTTAACTGTTGGTTACAATTTTCAAAAAATCATTCCTGAGAGGATCCATGACCAGGGAACGGTGCCACTCTCAACGGGCATGTTGTCTGACCTCAATTAGTATACTCAAGACAACACCCTCGCAGATAGGTCCTCAGGCCAACCTAATCAAGACGACCCCGCAAAGCAAACATTATACACCTCATGAAGCCTTGAAATGCATCTCCCTGTGCTCACTTCTAGTGCATGAATAACTTCGAAACATTTTACTAAAGTATAGACCCTGGCTATATACTCAACCAAATTTTTTGCTTTCACATTTCTTTAAGTCAATGATGGAAAAACACATTCTTGTTATGCAGTAATTTGTTCAAATAATTACTGGACGTATTCTCTATGTGCTATGGCAGGCCTAGTGGAAGGCTCCATAAGCAGATTAACATAAAAACAATTAACTTCTGTGCTAGACAAGGAAAACCGCTTTATAAAGAAGGAGAGCTCTAGGCATTTGAAAGACCGATTCCTAAAAAAAAATCTTAGTCACAATGGCCACTTGTAATCTGTGCATTGTGCAGACAGAATCAGGCCGATTCCTGAGGTTCAAAGGTCAGCCATTCTAGCCTACTTGGCAGGTTCTAGGCCAGGGACATCCTGTCTCAAAATCAAAACAAAATGGTGGGCACCAGAGGAATAACAGAACTTTGACCTCCAAGTGCACACACACAAAGCTCTGACTGAGAGGACAAAGAGGACAGATGAGAGACCAGGAAGTACTAGTAGTCTAATTCCCTACCTACACCCACTTACACTGACAGAAGTTGTTCCCTGAAACCAGTCTGACAGCTTGCTAACTGAGGGAAAGGCCTGGATGGAAAACCCACTTCACTTTGGTCAGTCTGGTTTTATTAATGTAGCAGCTTCCTACGGCCAGGGGCCCCCAGGTCCTACTGCTGTGGCCATGTACTTGTTCCTTGAAGCAGCTTATGCAGAACAAGGACAGATAATAAGAGTTGTAGTTATTAGAGATCTGTGCTCTGGTTACTAGTTACTGCGTCTCTTAGGCAGAGACAGAGAGAAAGCCCTACTGCACAAATCCCTTACAATCATGTCAGAGATGTTATGCACATTTAAAAGGCCAGCATCTGATCTCTTTTTCCATTTAAAAGGTAGAGTAAAATATTCAAGAGCAACCACTTATATGGCGACCTTGCTATGGTTGAAATGGGTTGGGCACATAGCTCAGTATTAGCTTGCCTAGCATAAGAACCTAGATGCAGTTTGAGGCCAGCCTATTCTACATAGTTCAGAGCTATGCAGAGAGACCCTTTCTCTCGGGGGAAAAAGAGATGCTACCTCACACAGGCCCTTGCCACAGTTGGTGCAGTACCTCTCTAGATGGAGAGGCTAACATACATGAAGTGGGATTCGACTGCTGGTTTTATCTGTACTACTCTAATGATGACAAGAACACTGAGCCCTTCTCATGTTCTTATCAGCCATCTGTGTGTCTTCACTCAGAGATGCTATTCCAATCTGTTTCTTCACTGGGCCACGTTTTTATTGCTGAGTTATACATGTTCTTTACATATTATAGATGTTAGTCCTTCATCAATCAAACAGTATACAAATATTTTCTTTTCCTGAGGGTTTTGTTTAGCTTTCTTTTTTTTTTTTTTTTTTTTGGTTTTTCGAGACAGGGTTTCTCTGTGTAGTTCTGGCTGTCCTGAAACTCACTCTGTAGACCAGGCTAGCCTCGAACTCTCGAACTCAGAAATCCGCCTGCCTCTGCCTCCCAAGTGCTGGGATTAAAGGCGTGCACCACCACCGCCCGGCTTTGTTTAGCTTTCTTGATGGTGTTCTTTGTGCCCAACAATAACAAAAAAAATGCTTAATTTTGATTATGTTTATCAATTTTTTTTCTCTCGTTGCTTAAGCTTTTGTTTCATGTCTAAGAAAAGCCATTATTATTTTATTATTATGATGCTGCTGCTGCTGATGATGATGATGTCAATAGAAATGGACTGAGAAAGTGGTATAAAATTAAGATTCAGAGAGCACATTCCTACATGAAGTCCACAAAGCCCTGGGCTTGATTTCCAGTACCACATAAACCAGACTTAGTGGCACATGCCTGTAATCCCAATAATCAGGAGGTGGAGGCAGGAGGATTGGAAAGTTCAAAGTAGCCATCTGCTACACAGAACACAACCCTAGCCTGGGCTATGTAAGACCCTGTCTTTAAAACAAACAAACAAACAAACAGAAAACAAATTGAGTTCTGTAATTTGGAGTATCCACAAGTAAAAACAATAGTGACCATCTATCCTACTATGAACAGCCTTTGTACCGAGCAGTGAAAGGAGAAGCCTCCAGGAAAAGAAGCCAGCAGCTGCCAGTCGTCACATTAGCGTCACACTCAGGTGTTTTAACTGTACAGCTATAAAGCATTTTAAAACAAACATTAAAAGCACAACTCTTCTCTGAAGGAAAATACTATACCTGCTAAGTAATTCCAGTCCAGCAGAGTACTTTGGTAAGTATGGAGCAGTCCTGCCAAGAGAAACACTTATTAGAGCTGCTGCAGATCCACACAGCTTTACAGAACTGTTGCACACAAGAGTTCCAGCATTGCCAAATATTGTGTCAATAATTTTAAAGCCACTAATGAGGAGTTGGAGCAGTGGTTCAGCAGTTAAGAGAACGTCTGTTCTTCCAGAGGACCTGGGTTCAATTTCCAGCAACCACATGGAGTTACAACCATCTGTAACTCCACTCCCAGGGGACCTAACAGCCTCTGCTAGCCTCTACAGTAGACAGTCCTGTGAGCAAAACACCTATATGCATAATTTTAAAAAAAGATTACAACCACTAATGAAGAGGCTTGAGAGATATTCTTGCGGAGTTCCCAGTACTGCATCAGGCAGCTCACAATTGCTTGTAATGCTAATTCCAAGGGATTTGGCAGCCTCTTTTAGCCTCTGTGGGCACCTACATGCAAGTTGTGCACATAAAATTATGCTGGCAGACATACAAATACTGATAGTTGTGCAGAATTTTAGAACCATAGTATCTGGCACGAATCTAAAGTGATGGCCCTAGACTTTGAAGTAGTCTTTTGTCAGTGATTGTTATCTGAGTTTTTATGGGGTTGTTCCTTTGAAGGATTCTTAGAGCCTTTGACATGCCTAGCAAATCTGGAAGTCTCCTAAGACTGAGAACTATTTTAGGTGATGGTTCCTTTGAGACAACTCTGATCAGATAAGAAGAGGTTTTGGTCTGCAAAAACTGACTTGCTAAAAGTGCCTTTTATGCAACAATAAAGGTACTTCTGGGAAGCTGTCAGTGTTCCGTCTTTGAGAGGATGATCCCTCTCCTGCTTCAGAAGCCTAAGCTGCATGCTTAGGTTAGGAAAACATGCTGCAGCGTCTCTCTCCAAGTAACCCAGAGCACCAACATACAATTTACTTAAACTTTTGGCAAAGTATAATACCTCAGAAGTGATGTACTTCAACATAACAATATTACTTTGTCAGGCAGATTGTCTCTTGCACATAATACAATACACATCTTCAAATCTTAGACAAAGAAAATAAATATGCT